GACCGCAGCCGCCGTGCCCCCGCGCCAGCCGCCCCGCCATGACGAGCCTCTTCCGTCGGAGCAGCAGCAACGGCGGCTCGCGCGGCGGCTCCTCCGCCCAGGAGCTCAACAACAGCCGCCCCGCCAGGCAGGTCCGCCGGCTGGAGTTCAACCAGGCCATGGAGGACTTCAAAACCATGTTCCCCAACATGGACTACGACATCATCGAGTGCGTCTTGAGGGCCAACAACGGCGCCGTGGACGCCACCATTGACCAGCTCCTGCAGATGAACCTGGACAGCAGCGGCTGCGACGACAGCTCGGATTCGGAGGACAGCATCCCCCCCGAGGTAACCCCCGCCGGTGGTCCCCAGCACGTGGCTAGGGGTGGGGGTCCTTTGCCTGGACTCCTGGCTGCCAGGGCTGGCTCGTCATGAGCGGGCAGCTCAGTCTCATCCTGCCTCACTTCTGCCTGGGCATGGTGCTTGTCGGCTGTTGCAGGCGGGCAGATATTCGAGTGCCCGATTTGGCTGATCTGGAGCGTGCAGCCTGGCTGGTTTGTCTTGGACAGTGCTTGAGGCTCGAGCCAAAGCGCTCTTCTCACTCCCTCCTGCCCAAAAACCCAACAGAGACCCTTTAGCTGCTGTCAAAGGGTCCCCGAGGGCTGCGTACACCCAGGGATGGGCTCATCCATCACCTGAAATGCGGTGCCTCGAGAGCAGCACCTCCAAACCCCACCAAAAGCCCCCCTGGTGCAGGGGACTGGTGCCGGGAGTTTGCCCCCGTCCTCTGTGCAGTGTTCAGCCTGTTCTGTCCCCGTTTTGCTGCCATGCGCAAGCGGGGAGTGTTTCTCCAGCTCGCCCTCACCCTGTCCTCTCACCCCACAGATCTTGGAGCGGACCCTGGAGCCAGACAGCTCGGATGAGGAGCCCCCTCCCGTCTACTCCCCTCCCGCCTACGAGAGCCAGGAGTTTGGCAACCGCTACCCCCGCGCGCCACCCACCCCACCGCCCAGGTGAGCCCCCAGGCCCACAGTGCGGCCGGCAAAGCACCCTGTGCCAGCGCCTGGAGGGGGGGGTCTTGCTGCGTGTTAGGTGGCCCTGGCAAGGGGCATCTGGCATCAGTTCGTTAGGGTCAGGCGAGACGAAGCCAAGGGAGATGAATGAAGCTCGCAGCTGGCTAAAAAATCCCTGCAAGGCCCTAAAAAGCGAACAGCTGAGGGGCCCAGAAAGCCACGCTGGCAGCGTGTGGAATGGCAAAAATCAGCTACCGGGGGTGGGGAGTGCTCGCCTCCGCTTGAAAACACCAGGTGCTGGGCGTCTGGGGCCCCACGCATCATGGCTCTCGGCACTGGAGACCTCGGGTCTGTTCGATTTGCTGCTGCTGGGTCACCGAGCCCCTTGGGGGTCTCTGGCCCCACGGGCTGTGGGCTCTCCCCCGGCGGCAGTGCCTTGGCCATAGCCTTGGGGCTTGCAGGAAAGCAAGCGCCGGTGCCCTGGCCGCCTCTGTGCCAGCCCCCTCGGATGAAGGCGCTGCCGGCTGCGCAGGCTGGGTGCGACATCTGGTGAGAGACGCTCATCAGCTTCGTAAGCACGATCCTGCCGTGCTAGGGCTCCCACAGGGCTGTTTTCTGGGACTCCGAGCAAAACAAGGAGGAGAAGGGAAATCCAGCCTGCGTGGTTGCAGGGCAAGGCTTGAAAAGCAGCTCCCAAAGATTTCAAACTGGCTAGGAAAGCCTTTCGCTCTCCGGAGCTAACGCTAACGCCATGGGTTTGGGAGGCGTGCTGCGGTTTCTTGGTTCCCAGGACCACCGGTCGAGCTGGGCAGGGGGCTGCCATGCCGGGCCCTGTGCCCTGCTGCTGCAGCAGACGTCGGGGGGTTTCACCCTTGCCAAAGGTGCTGTCTGTGTTTGCCTTGCAGGACAGACGTGCCGGGACCCGGCAGCACTCCAGCGCCCGGGCGCTACAGGAACTGGAACCCACCGCTCCTGGGCAACCTCCCCGAAGACTTCCTCCGCATCCTTCCCCAGCAGACCACTGGCACACAGGTGAGGCTTGCTGCCCCTTCCAGCCTGCGCCCCAGCTCCGTGGTGTGGCATAGAGCATCAAACTCGGTCCTCGGCCACCCTGAGCTTGCAGCATCAGTGCTCTGAGAGTATCTGGGTACTGGGTGCCGACTAAACTGAAAGTCTTGGAGCACTTCTTGTTGTTCAAGGCGAGACTGAAGTGAGCAAGGTGGGAAAGGGGAATCTTCCAGTAAGGCTTCAATGTTTTTCCTGCCGTTAGCCCAGCAGTTAGTGCCAGCCATGCCACTTGTAATAAGCACCTACTATTTCAAGTTATTTTAAAATCTTACTTGCTACCCTGGTGAGGAACAGCAGGACCGGCATACACTCTTGGGGAGAGTGGCACTACCAGGGTGCTTGGGGGCTGGTGCAGTGGAACTTGGGTGGAAAATCTAGTGCAAACCAGAGGATTTTCTCCTGGGAAATCAGAGTTACCGTGTTCTTCATGACAGTTTTGGAGCCATGGGGCTTGGGGTTGCAGGTGCCTTTCTGCCCACAGTGGGGCAGGCAATGGACAGCACCCCGTGGGGAACAAGCAGCCCCAGCGCAGACCGTGCTGGGCACCCAGCTTGGCTCCAGGCACTCCACATCCCCAGGATGTCCCTCAGCCCCTTTGCTAACACAGGAGCCAGCCTGCAAATGGGACTAGTGCCCTCCTGGCACGGCGAGGGGCTGGGGGGGCCTGCAGGCACCCTGCCTTCCCCTTGCATCGGCTCCTCCCTCCCTTTTTGGCGCCGAAGGCAGCCTGCCACGTTTTCATAAATGATTGCCCTGGAAGTTGAGCTTCGCAGGCTATATTACCTTTCTGGGAATAGGAACGTGCCAATTCATTTGGGCTCAAGGGGAGGAGAGGAGCAGCTGCTCTTTTCTTTCCCCGGTAATTGTGTGCTTTTGCTTTTTATGGCTCTCTGAGAGCAGCTACAAATCAGATAAATATTGTAGGCGAGGATGGGGTTGCGGCTGTAGAGTGTGGCTCTGCTGCTCCCCAGGTGCAACCGCACCGGGAGCCAGGGGAGAGCATGAGGTGCCTTGTGCAGGGACGTTCATCAGTGGGAAATTGCAGTCTCTGCTTTTTAGACAGGGGGAAATAAAAGCAGCGACGCTGGCTGAGACTGTTCTCCCTCGCCTCACCACCAAGTCCTGTCTTGGCTCAACCCCACGGTTTAAAGTTAAAAGTCTTTGCAAATCTGCATTCTGCAAAGGAGCTCTTCCGGAGGCACCGGTTCCTCCCCGTGCCACGCTGAGCCCAGACCAAGACGTCCCCATTCCCGCGTGGGATATCCATCCCTACCTGCCTCCGCCCCATCCCCATTCCTGCTGGGCAGAGGTGGTGGTACCCTGTCCCCCTTTGTCCCCTTTGCAGCAGCACCGTCCCGAGCGCAGCCCAGCCGGGGGGGGGACGGTGCCCCGGGCTGTCGGGTGCTGGATTTAGGAAGGAGGGACCCCTCTCCCCGCTGGGGAGCAGCCAGTCGGTGGTGTAACGGAGGAGCAAAAGGCCAAGCTCAGCCTGAGGCGTTGCTGCGGGAAACCTCCTGCATGCACCAGCGCAGGCACCGAGACCACCGACCGACCTCTGCCATGTTTGCCTCCTGCCCAGGGCTCCCACAGCTGCCGGCAGCCCGTGCCGCGGGGGCTCGCCCCGCGGGGTCAGGGCTCCCTGGAGCAGGAGCGGCGGTGGAAGCAGTACCTGGAAGACGAGCGGATCGCGCTCTTCCTGCAGAATGAAGAGTTCATGAAGGAGCTCCAGAGGAATCGGGATTTCCTCCTCGCCCTGGAGAGAGGTGAGAAGTGCCTTCAGAAACCTCTGCCTCCGCTTTTCGGCTGCGTGGCCCCCCCGTGACACTGGCTGCTGGCGGCATTGCCCTGCCCATGGCATCGTGGCTCATGCCAAAGCAGAACCAGTGCAGGATGCGGCCAGGCTGGTGGCAGGTGGTCTGACACCGGGCAGCGGGCTGCTCCCCGGGCTCCTGCTCCTGGTGCTGAGCCGCCTGCCCTGAGGCTCTCCTCCCCCTGCCCATCTCTCTGCGGTGTCTCTGGCAAACCCCAGCAAAATCCATAGCAAGGAGCCTCGGAAATGCCCTCCGAGCCCAGCCTGGCCGGTGCGCTCTCCCCGGCTCTTTCTGCCCTCCCCAGGTGCTGGCAGAGCCTGAACTGGAGAGCAGTTTTGCCATGATTGCTCCTTCCCTGTCACCATGCTCCTTCCCGGCAAGCCAGCAGCCAGCTGCTCACCCAGTGCCATGGGGAGGGCTCAAGGGTGTCAGTGGTTTTCTGCTGCTTAGCAAAGAGCACCCCTTCCCCTCCCTTGCTCTGCCACCAGCTCTGAGCCCCCCCGGCCAAGGGGCCGTCTCCCTCGGAGATCTTGCTGGTGGTTTACAGGGTTCCGGCAACACTTTTCACTGCAGGGCTTTGCCCCCGGCCGCCGCGGCTGGAAAACCACCGGCGTGCTCGCCGCATGCTTGCAGCGGGTGGGCGGTTCTTCTGCTGCGGTGAGAGGAGCGCTCCCACCTGCTGTTGCGGGCTCCCACCAAAGCGCTTGCGGTCACCGTGCTGACGTGAAGCCCGAGCTCCCTCCCTTGCCGTCAGCCTGTCCCTCCACGGCTGTGGGGGCCATGAGGGGAGAGGGGAGCGGAGCCGCGTGCGCTGCCTCGAGGGTCTGATCGAGCTGGGTGCCGGGCTTTTTGTTTTTCAGATCGATTGAAATATGAGTCAAAAAAATCCAAGTCGACCAGCGTTGCTGTCAGCAACGACTTTGGTTTCTCCTCCGTAATATCAGGTAACTTTCAAGATGCGTGTGAGCATCGCCTCTCAGCAGTGGGAAGCCGCACAGCTCCAGTGTTCCCAGCCCTCTGCCCAGCTCCCTCCGAAGTGGCTGCAGGGTGAGGAAACTGGCTGATCCCTCCCTGCCACCATCCCAGCACAGGAGAGGAGCTGGTTGGTGATGGGGACGGACACTGCTGCCCTCCCTGCCCTCCCCACGTGGAGGATTGTGCCTGGGAGGCATAATGACTGTTCCTGAGTAATCCTGATTAACCTCGGCCAGCGGAGCAGCTGCCTGGGGTCAGAATTAGAGCTGGTGTCTGTCGATGGCCCTATGCGGGGGTGTGCGAGACGCAGCGGCTGGGTGCACGGTGCTTTGAGGGCACTCAGACCTGGGGAAGGGCCGTGGGCCCAGGTGGGCACGAGAACGTGGCTGTGGGGGTCTCTGGTCCACCGGACCGAGTCGCTGGGCTGCCTGAACTTCTACTCCTCATCTGGTGGCCCTGCCATCCCAGGTACTGAGCACGGGCACAATCTAATACCCGGAGTGCAATTAGCGCCGGGGGTAATTTGGGGCTGCTGTCCCTGGAGCAGCACCGAGGGAGGCCTCCTGCTCTGCAGCGGTGCTGGTGGTGGGGCTGAGCCGCCAACTCACCCCACGTCTGCTCACAGGTGGCTCAGGGTGAGCATTCCCGCGGGGCCGAGGCTGTGCCGCAAGCCGACATCCATGCACCCACGGTCTCTGGGGTTATATCCACAGAGAATCCTCGTCTGGAGCCAGCCCTGGCGTGCCAGTGCCCTCATCCTGCCTGCTCTCGCTCAGCTCTGCTCATGGCAGGGCTGCTCTTTGCTTGCACTGGAATTGGGTCATGGAAATGATTTGTCTTGAGCCTCCCCTCGCCGCGCACGCACTCCCGGTGACCAGATGTTTGCCTTCCAGGTGACGTAGCCCCCTCTGTAACCAGCGAGGCCGGCGGTGCCGTGTCTGACGATGCCTTATTCAGAGACAAATTGAAACACATGGGAAAATGTGAGTCGGTTCGCAGGCTCCGTGTTGGCAGCGGGATGCCTGCGAGGGCTGGAGGGAAGCTGGGAGCGGGGCAGGCAGGGGAAGAGCCGGCAGCATTGCTTGGCGCTCGCCCAAGCGCTGCGGTGGTCCCCGCTCGCGCAGCGTGTCCGCTCCGCGTTCTGTGTGCACGTCAGCCGGTACACGTACGCCTGCTAGCGCGTGTGCGTGGAGTTTTCTTGTCGCCTCCCTTGGCAGCTGGGCACACGCGGCCCCATCGCCCTGGGAGTTGCACAGAGGGGCTGGCACATCGGCGCACAGGGCGCAGGCCGTTGCACGCTGCGGTGGCACGTTGTGCTGAGACGGTACTCAGCCCCAGCAGCGTGGCTTTGGGGTTGAGTTTCCGTCTGTATTTTACAGCCCTGGGCTGTTGCATCCCTGCCCTGCGGTGGTCTTCTCCCGGCCCTTGCCAGCAGCAGGGAGCTCCTGTGCCGCACGTCGGCACGACAGACGGGAGATGGAGACCTGGGTCTTGGTGCCCCAGCTCTGCACTGTCCGTCTGTCCCCAGTGCATGTGTGGGTTGTGGCATGAGTCGAGGATGCAGGTGGTGGTGTGGAATAGAGGAATTTCTGGGCAGGGTTTGTGTGAATCCTAGAAAAGCAAGCCAAGGGTTTGCCGTAACTCTCCCTTTTCTAATCTTTTCCTCTTAGCAAGTCACAGCCCACTTCTCCCGTTGCAAAATAGACTGAGGTCTTTGGGCAGCTTGACTGGGGCTGCAGCCAGCTGAGACACTGGGGAGATGCGGGTCAGTCACAGATAGGGAAGGTCATGAAAATCCCAGTGAAAGGGTAAAAACATCAGCACTTCCCGCCAGGGACCAGCATGTCCCTGTTGGTCGCGGGAGCTGGCTCTCCGAGGCTGGCAGCCTTGCGCGGCCCCGGTGTTTCCAGGCAAACCCAGAATATTGCTGTGGGGCATTGGGGTGCGGGTGGCTCTCGCACTGCTGGCCCTGGCCCTCTCTTCCCCATTGCCCATGGCAGCTTTGGGAGGGGTTTTGGGGCAAGACCCTCACCCAGCTGCTTCCTTCCAGCCACGCGCAAGAAGCTGTTTGAACTCGCCAGAGCCTTCTCCGAGAAGACGAAGATGAGGAAATCAAAAAGAAAACACTTGTTGAAGCACCAGGTGTATCCTAAAAGGGGCTGGGGAGCTGTCGTGGGGTGCGGGGCTGTCGGAGTGGTCTTGCTTGGGTGCTTCTGGGGACTCCCCAAGGCCACGGTCTGGCCGGAGCCTCCCAGCTGCCTCTCATGGCTGGGCCGTGGGCTGGGAAGGGCGATTGTGGTCCCCCAGCCACATCTCGGCCCCACAACTGGTTTTCCTTAGTGGAAGGCGCAGGCTGGGAACGGCGGCTTCCACGGCAAATCTTCTCGACGATGTCGAAGGACATTCATGCGGTAAGAAATGGCATGCCGTGCCATGCTGCGCCATGTGCGCTGTGCTCAGCGTAGCTAGCTGGGGTCCCGCAGTGACTGGCCCCATCCTGCCCCATGCCGTCACACTTTTGGAGATGGCTCCCATCAAGGCTACGGGCTCACCCCTGGTCCCACACAGCTCTCCTGTGAGCGTGCACTTGCTGGGACCGGGGACGCAATCTCCTCTTTTGGGGAGCCTTGGAGGCTTGCAGCTGGGCTGTGCAGCCCTGCAGGATGCGTAGCCTGGGGTCGGGGCACAGTCCTGGCAAATCTGTTGTCAGCCAGATGTGCACAGCAGCAGGTCTTGGCAGTGTGTTTTGTGCCAGCCTGGACCACCCCGGGTCTGGCTCAGGTGGCATGAAATGGCATGGCAGAAATGGCCCCGTGGGCCAAATCCTCCTTCCAGTGTTCTCAAGCCTATTCTGGCAGAGAGTCCCCATGTCCCAGTCCCTGGGAATTGTCTGTCTGGGCGAGGAAATCCCTGCCCTGGGGCAGGGGCCGGGCTGCCTCCCTGCTGGGGCACCTCGCTGGAGCTGGGACCGTGGCACGGTGGCTGGCATCCCGGCGTGGAAGCGGCGGCAACTCCTGACAGCCCCTGCCTGCTTCTGCCTTTCAGATGAAGACTTCCAAGCGCGGAGGCAGCAGCTCCGGGAGGAGGAGGAGACGCCGAAGGAAGGGCAGTAAACGGTGAGAGGCACCTGGGGACAAATGCTTCCCAGCGAGCGTGCAAACAGCCCTGTCCATCCGTCTGTCCTGGCTGGAGGAGGGAGCTGGGTGCTCTGGATCAGGTCCAGAGCGTGTCTGGGTGGGCACGAGCCCCATTAGCAGCTGTGGGTGCTGCAGCGGATAACGGCGGTGGCCACGGTGTGGCTGAGGCTGAGCATGCACCGTTCTCCTCCCCTCCAGGTCCCAGCACTGGGGTTTATTGCTGGCACAGAACGTGCACAAGGCTTCATAAGAAGATGGCTGAAAAAGGAAAAAAAACACCCAACAAACAACCCAGTTTTTTGGCTGTTCCCCCTCTGCTGTTGTACTCCTCTGAAGTACAAGTATTGAAGTGAGGCACAATGTTTTCTTACCAGTGGTTTGAAAACAACTTCTATCTAGCAAATCAGCCAAAAAGGAAAAAAAAAAAGGAAAAAAAAGTTCGGCAGCTGATGTGAGCGGCTCTGGAAGAGCCAGAGGAGCTCAGACTTGGGAGGAGCAGCGTCCCGCCTGCTCTCTCGGTCTGAGCGGCGTCGCAGAAGGAATGAAAATCAGTTGTACTAACGAGGATGCATTCACATGTGGGATCTGCTTGGCTGGAGCACTCCTGAACATATCTCTGTAGCAATCTGATGTAACTTTACTCTGCGCACACAGGAAAAAAACCACCGCGTGAGAAAGAGAACCTAACAGCTGTTGTCTACTATTGCTAGGAGTAATAAGCAGAGATTCAGATCAGGTAATAGTCAAATAATATAAATTGTTTATAAAAAGGAAAGGCCTTCTTTTCGTAGGCGTTTCACTTTGAATTAAACCTTTGCCTTCGGCATTGCTAAAACTGCCTTGAAGTACGGACGCTTTGTGCCGCCACGGGGCAGCACCAAGGGCTGGATTTCGCATCAGTTTAACCCTCACTGCCGAAGCAGGACACGTCCCACCGGGTGCAGCGTGCCGGTGGTGGTCCCGGCTGCCGGGCAGGGCGCTCGGTGGCTCCAGAGATGCCCCCCCGCCGTAGGTAAGATGCAAAGCCCGAGCCGGGGGGTTTGTAGCTGAGGCCGGTGGAGGCATTTTCGGCACGGAGAGTTTGCACAAGGGCTAGCGAGTGCTGCTGGGTTTGGTGCGGGGCTGGGGCTGGCCTGGTGGCAGGAGCAGAGCACCCTTCCTCGTCCTTGCCCTGGGAGCTCGTTTCGCCAGGGAGCGTGGCAGAGGGCTGGGGAGGCCGGCAGACAACGCTTGAATCATTGCAGCTTTCGGAGATGCTGTCAGGCTAAAAATAATTACGTAAACAAATTCCTTCCTTGTGTAAGTAATGAGTGACGAGCGTAAAGTCAGAAATCGCTCCCGCCAGCACATTTTATTCTCCTTTATCGGCATAATCTGTTTACTGCTAAATGCAGGAGGTGGCTATAGACGTGCCTGTTTCACTTTCTGGCTCCCGCGAACCAGCACAAATGTTGCAAGATCGGAGCTGCGAAGGCGGCAGACGCAGAAACCCCAGCCATCAAACACACACGCAACTGTTTTCCCTGCCTCTCCGCGGGGTTTGGTAACAAAAGCCCACATTGCAGGCGCTGGCTCCCGACAGGCTCCTTTTCAAACCCGCCCGGAGCCTGCATGCCTTTGAAGCGGACGCCAAGATTTCTTTCCCGGCGAGCGGTGCAGCCGGTGCACCTGTTGAGCGCCGCTGCCGTCGCCCTCGCAGCCGCGGTGGGGATCGGTGGGCACCCGCGTGTTTTGCCTTTTCCCTGGTCCCTGGCCACGGCCGGGGGTGCTTCAGGGTGTCGGGGGCTGCAGGGTCTGGGTAATGTCCCGTTAGCACAACGGAAGCGTCGCTGGCAGCACCGGGGCTTGGCCAAAGCCCGGGGTGCTGATGGCGAGGGTGGGATGTGCAGGGCTGGAAGCACCCCAAGACGCCAGCGAGCTTTGGGCTCCTAAAATCAAGGCAGCAGAAGACCCAGCCCACCGAGCTGATCGCAGCTTTGGTGTCCACTCCTTTTCTTTTGAAGGAAAAGATTGAGGAGCACCGTGGCAGCCCAGCCAACGGGTTAGAGCCGTCCCAAGCCACGCTGGCCTTGCTTCGACGTGTGCAGGCTCTGAGCCTTCCCTGCTCCCTGTCGGGTGGAGGGAGGTGCTGGAGAGGCACGGCGTGATTTGCACTGGGCTGCTCTGCACCATGTGGGGTAAGATGGGCGCCTGGAGGGACGCGTGTCCCTGCCTGGGTCGGGGCGCAAGCGTGGGGCCGCGGGCGCGAAGGACTAAGTGTGAAGCTGGGGCTTTGCCGCTGGGAACAGAAGGTCCTTTAGTCCCTGGGTGGGACTTTTATTCCCAGCCTGAGACTGGTGGAGAGAGAGGAGGGGCTCCTTTCCTACCCTCCGCTGGCTCTGGGGTCCGTAGGAGGCTGCCGTTATTCCCTCCCAGTCTAAAGCAGCTCTCTGCATATTTGGAAGAAAATCAAGCTTGGAACCAGATCAGCTTGTCAATGTTCCAGCGCCTCTTAGCTACCGAGGGCTTAACTTTCAGCGAAGTTTCCATGAACGCAGGAAGCACCGACAGGCAGTCGGGCAGGAGCTCAGGCTCTTGCAGGAAGGAAATTCTGCTTCTCCCAGCCAAGGAGGTTGTTACTGGAGGGCTGGTCTGGTGCGTGGGGAGGAGAGGCAGCAAAGCACTTGTGCCCAGGTGCTTGCAGCTTGTCTTCCCGCTGCTGAGCCCCTGGAGGGTTTGCCGTGCTCCTCGTCCTCGCTGGAGGACGGGCTGCGTTGTGCCGTGGCTGCGGAGGATCGCGTTGAGCTCTCTTTGGCAGTCTAGTGCTGGGCAAGCCACGTTTCGCATCATGTCACAGGTCAGTCCTGCTGGAACCGCTGGCTTTAAGTGGCGTTAGTGGTAAACGTCGCCGTTCCTCCTCTCCCATCTGCTCAGCCTGCACGTTAGTTGACATGTTGCCTCCGAGTCATCTTTGTAACCCAGCCGTAGTTTGCTGGTGGAGAGGAGCCCGGAGACAGCAGGCTGCCTCTGTTTTTTGCTTTGGGCTGGTCTGGCCGAGCACATCCCTGAGGTCTCCGGCATCCTCTGCTCCCTGCGATGCTACCAGGGACCTGACGGAGCCCGCACAGGGGAGCAGGGCTGCAGTCCTGCGAGAAAACAGGGAGAGGAAGGGCAGCTCGGGGGGCTGCGAGCTGGAGCGCAGGGGCCGTGGGGAGGGGACGGGTGTCAGCGTGCAACCTCCGCTCGCCGCACGTGGTGGGTGTGAACCCCCCCCCAAGCCTCGCCGGCTCTGTCTACCCTGCCAGCAAAGGTTTTGTGTTAGTTGGGTCTGGCAACGCGCGCTAATCGTGAAGGGTCCCGGGCCAAGAGCGGGCACTGCAGCCGTGAGCACACAGGGTTGGGAGCGGGCTGGCAGCCTATGCTTTGCAGGGGCTTGGGGATGTCTTTGCTAAACGGTCTAACAACTTGCCCTTAAATATCCTAGGCTAGGCAAAGCCTCTCTGAATGATGTCACTCTGTAGCCATTTCAAAATATCTTGGAGGCACAAAGCATCGTTTTAATGGAGGATGAAGAGTGATTGTTTTTTGTGTCCTTTAAAAAAAAAATCAGGTCTAATGAGTAGAAAGGCCACTAAAACCGGCTTGGAAGCCAAAATCCATTTCTTACATGAAAATATACAATTCTCAGTGATGTTTGTATCACTTCTATACAAAATGGTTTAAAAAGAGCAAAACAAAACAATCTGTGATGTTTGTGAGTGTTGCTATTTTAGAATTTATTTCCATAAGTGATTTTTTTCTTAAAAATGTTTAATAGTAATTCATATAATAAAGTCATCGTACTCTTAACACTCAGGTTTATTTTGCTTTTTTGCTCCCATTTCTTTACAGGGGAAAAAAGAAAGAAATCGGGGTGGGGAGGGAAATGCCAGCTCTAGCCCAGCTCTAGCTGTGCCCCTCATGGCTGCAGATGCCCAAAAGCTGCCCTGGCTCATTGCCTCTCTGCTCATATTGGTGCTGAATTTGCATCTGACAATTTTCTCAAGAAAGCGAGCACTGTGGGAGACCTGTCACTGGTGAGCTCCTGTGTCCATCCAGGAGCAATTTCTGCTTCCACCCGGCAGGATGTTTGGTTCGGGAGCAGGTCCTGTCCGGTGCCTGTTGTGGGAGACTGCGAGAAGAGCACCGGGAGTGAGTGGCAGTGAGAGCCCAGGATTTGGGGAAAAGCCCTGGCACAGCTGAGGATGCTCTGGGGACACCCTGTCCCCTTTCCTCCCCGCTTCACCTCAGCAGACAAAGCAAAACCACCCCAAAGCGCGGTGGGTGCGTGGGGCACCCACTGCTCCCCTCTGCCATCCCCATGCCAGGGTTTCATCTGGGGTCCAAGGCAAAGGGCTCCACTCAGGTTGGAGGCTCCGAGGGTGGGCTCTGCACCAGGGAAACCATCCTGACACCGAGCGAGCTGGGAAGCAGAACTGCCATCCCACGCTGGCAGTGGGGGTGCCGTGCTTGCGGGTCCCTATGGAAGCTCCTGGCACACCCGTGGCCGGCTACACGTGTGGCAACCTGCCTTTCAGGCAAGAGCGGAAAAGGAAAAATGCTGTGGCTTAACCACTTCATTCTGAAAATAACAAGCCTCTTGGGGACGGGGCGTGTGAGTTTTCTTTAAACTGTTTCATTAGCTATCGCACAGCAACTCCTCCGCGTCTGTCAAGCAGGCAGTCTGGCTCCTTCGCGGTGTCTCCTGGTGGAATGGAAATACGTTATTATAATGAATTATTTCTGAAATATGTGTTATTCATCTCCAGCCCTGCACGTTTCTGCACTGTGCTGAGCTGGCGGGATCACCGGGTCTGCGAAGTTGGAGAGCACAGAGCTGGATGGTGTTGGTGGAATTGCTCCTGAAGGGTCTGGTCCCAGCATCACTCCTGCAGGGAATTGCTTGCTCAGTGCTGGGCTTGGCTTCCCCTTCCTTTTGTGTTCCCTGCAACAGGCTGGAGGAGGAAAACTTTTAGTGAGAAACTCCTCGGACCCAGAGATGAGGGGGGGTCTGTCCCAGGTATGAGGGAAGGGCAGGGGTCTGTCAAGCCCCACTTACAGGAGCTGGCCTGCTGCGTCTCCAGCCAGCACCCAAAACCTGAGTGTCAAGCCCTTCGGTTTGGGGAAGAGTAGGACTTTTGGCCTGTCCAGCCTGTGCTGTCCTTGAGAAATACCCCCCTGGGCAGCCTTAGCAAGGCAGTGTCTTGCCAGATGGGCTGTGAACCCCGGGGACGGCTCCATGCTTCCACCTCCGCTTGCCGTGGGCAGCCCATGACTCGCAGGAGAAGGGTTATTTCCCTGGTGGCGGGCATGGTGCTTCGTGGGCAGCCTTGGGTGGCAGTGGCAGAGCCGGGGGGCATGTGGAGCATCCCCCTCGCTTGCAGGGATGGGGCCAGAGTCTGCCTGCCCTGCGCCAGCTGTCCGGGAGCAGCTTTTGGTTGCTGGCAGGAGTAGAACTTCCCAGTCTCACGTGTGGCTTGGAAACCTTCCCTGTGAACGAAGATGCTGGAAAAAGTCAAGGCATTCTTGCCTTAAATGTCAAAAGCATCGAAATGCTGGAGAAACCCTGGATGTTGCCTTCCCGCCGCAGCCAAGCAAGCTGTCGTGAGCCCGCGGGGGAGCCAGGGCTTTTTCAAAGAGCTGAAAAGACCAGGGCCTGCCCAGTCCTTTGAGCAGCTCAGATGCAGCCCTGGATCTGTCCCAGCAACTCCCTTTTGAATTCTTCTGCTCTACAGGGGCAAGGGTTTTTTCTTTTAAAACCGTGTTTTAAGAAAACCAGCAGCTGAGAAAAGCCCAGGACTGAAAACTGCGGTCAGATGAGGATGAATGCTAGAGGTGTTTTAGACTGGCATCGAGTACCTGCTGGCTCTCAGTCTGCGGTGGAAATTTACCGCCCCCTTCCTTCCCAAGGCTGGAAGATGGAAGGAGGGATGTATTTTTTTCCCCATCAGCTCATTCCCAAGCTAAGGGCTGCACCTAGTGACCAGGCATTGCTCGCTGCCGCACACTTCTCCCAAGTCACGCTGGTGGAAACGCTGACTGGGGGAAAGCTGTTTACACAGGGCAAACAGCCTGGATTTTATTAATCGAGGTAAAAAATACAGACTGGGGCTCTGTGCTGGGCAGCCAGGCGCCGTCTGCTGCCACCTCCTGGACCCAGCAAGCAGTGCTGGGGCTGGCCAGGGCAGGATCAGGCCATGGTGCAAACCCTGGACAGGGCTTGTGCAAACCAGGGCAGCAAATCCCACCGTTGGTTCTCCATCCAGGTGAGACCCAACACCAAAAGGCGACCGGACCAAGACTGGTCCTCCCTGCATCCCGCTGCTGGTGATGGTTTGCAGCCCAATGTCACCACCGGTCCCCAAGTTCCTTGGCTGTCATGGGGACATAGTGGTGCTCAGCTCGGGGGGCACAGCAGACAGGGCAGATGCGAAGTGCCACGGGTGGAGAAGAGGAGCCCCAGCCCCTGGGGACGTCATTCCTGCCGTACGGAGAAAAACGACGTCACGGAGGAGGCGCGGGCGCAGTGTGCAACGGCCATCTCCGACGCGTCCCCTCCTCGTGGGGCCGGTGGCTCCTTCTTTCCTTAGGACCGTCTCCCTCGTCCAGGACATCTGTCCTCTCCCGTCAGCCGAGGCCGGCAGCGAGGCAGCCCCATCGGCTCCGTCAGAAACCGGAGATGGCAGCCGGGCCGCCCTGCCAGGGTCCGCACATGCTCGGCAAGCGTAACGGGGTGACAACTGTTGCCTTTGGGGAGGGGGTTTATCCGCCCTCTTGGTTGCTGCCGCTCACAGCCCTGAGGCCGGGTGGGCTTTAGGGAAGCACAACTGGTGTCGTTTTATCGCAGGGTTGGCGCTAAGGAGGACTCTGGTATTTTTGGACATGGCCCTTCCTTTTTTTGCCCGTCCACAGCACCTCCTGGAGGGCTGCGACCCCAAACCCTGCTGCTGTACCCCCTCACCAACCTGCCCCCCAGACCCCCGGAGCTGCGCTTTGGCCCGGAGGAGCGGGTATTATTTGGAAGCAGAGGATGGATGCTCAGTGCTTCTGTCGGTGCGAGCGTGTCCGAAGGCTGGGCTGGGGTGGAAGGCAAGGGTCGGGGTCGAGCCCAGTGCTCCCCAGTCCCTGACTCTCCCCTGGCGTTTGGTGCCCCTAACACTGGGACACCAGCTTCCCCAGTGCTCGGGGGGAGCCGACACGGGCACAGACCCCCCCCAGCTGGGGACGGACCCAAGCCCTTGGTGGGGGCAAGGCCCAGGCCGGGGGTTCCCTGCACCGCTGCTGCCTTCGCCTCCCTCAGGTGCACGACATGTCGGCAGAGGCCTCCTGAGGAGACGTGACTTTCCACGGGCCTCGGGACTCCTGCTCCTTCCCGTACCGGGGCTGAGGTGGGTGAGGGCGGCCATCCCACCCGCAGACACCAGGCCCCGCCATCCCTGGAGGGGAGACCAGCCCCCGGGGGGGCCACGGCCGGGCTGCGAGGGAGAAGAGAAGGCTGCAGTGCTCAACCGAGGCGGCAGGCCGCGGCCCCGCGTGTTCGCGTTAGGGCAGTGGGTGGTCGTGGGGGGCGGCGGCGCTGGCCCTTTAAATTGAGGGGGGGGACACACGGCACGATCGGGCTGATCCCCTGCTCGGCCATCGGCTGGCGCTGCCTGGGCGCCGCCTTCCTTCGGCTTTTGGCAGCGGCCCGGTCGGCGGAGCGGAGGCGCGTTTCCGCTTCCGGGTGGAAGGGCAGAGCGTTGCTAGGGTTGGCGGCGTTGCTAGGGGAGGCCCGGCCGCCGGCGCCGCCATGGCGGGGAACCGCATGCAGAAGATTGGGAGCGTGTTCAGCCGGTGCGGAGGGCGGGCGGCCGTGCTGCGGGGGTCCCCCTGCTTGCCGGCCGGCGCGGGGGTTTGGGAGGGCGAAGCGGGAGTCGCGGGGTTCCCGGGGGAGGGAGGCGTAAGGCCGGGCCGGGTCGGCTGTCCCCTGAGCTCTCTTCGCTGCTCTTCTCCCCCGGCAGGACCCGCAACCTGCTCCGCATCGGGGTGATCAAGAAGCCGCTGTGGTTCGACGTCTACGCTGCCTTCCCCCCGCTGAGGGAGCCCGTCTACCGGGTGCCGCGGCCGCGCTACGGCAAGGTGAAGGATGTCATCCGCCCCATCCTCTACCAGGAGGACGAAGTGAGAGCGTGAGTTACCGCTTTCCCTCCCCTGGGCGGCCGCCGAGGGGTGCCTGAGCTCCGCCGTTCGCTCCGCCGTTCCCCGCAGACCTTCTCTGCCCCTTGTCGCTAGCCCTGCGGAGGGAATGCGGCTGCCCTTGTCACTGGAACTTCCAGCAGTGGCTTCTCTGCCTCTTTCTATCGCAGAGAGACCGCGTTTACCCGTTTCTAGCCTGTTATCTCGCCTGTGTTTATTAATCGCGGGCGGAGGTGCAAAAGGCAACAGAGGAGGCGGACGGGACGCATTGCTCCTGTCAGGCGCCTTGGGTGGCCAGGATGGGCTGACTTAAACCCTCTGTGAAGGAGTTACGGTGCTCCTCTGGCTCCCCGGTGGTGGTGAAGGTGAGCTGGAATGTATT